TTTTCTGCACAAGACTGGCACACTACCACTTGAGCCACATCTCCACTTCTGGCTATGTTCATGGTTAATTAGAGATAAGAATATCATGGACTTTCCTGTCCTGGCTGGCTTCCAATCTTGATCTTCAGATCTCAGTCTCTTGGGTAGCTAAGATTATAGATATGAGCCAATAGCACCCACCAATGTTTGTCCTTTGTTTTTGTCCCTCATGGGGCTTGAACTCAGGGCCTTGGTACTGTCCCTGAGCTTTTTTGCTCAAGGCTAGTACTCTACTACTTTTAACCACAGCTCTACTTCTAGTTTTCTGTGGTTAATTGGAGATGTGTCTCCCAGACTTTCCTGCCCTGGCCTGCTTCAAACCATGATCCTCAGATTTCAGCCTCCTGAGTAGCTAGGATTACAAATGTGAGCCACCAGCACTTAACTTAATATTTGTCCTTTCGTATCTAGTTTATTTTACTTTATTTGGTATCTGGTTTATGTCATTTATGTCTTCAAAGGTCCTACATATTGTAGTAAGCATCAGAATTTCCTCCCATTTTAGAGAGGAATAACCATTGATAGTATATACCACATTTTGTTTAGCCATTTGTCAGTCGACACTTAGGTTGCTGCCTCCTTGTCATTTACAGGTTAGTGCTGCTATGAACATTAATGTAAAGTATCTTTTAAAGTTCCTTCTTCTAATTCTACTCAGAAGTAGAATTGATGGGTCATATGTAAGTCTGTTTTTAGAAGACCATCATGTTTTCCATACTTGTCTTACCATCTTATGATCCCAGAAGCAATGCACAAAGGTTTTAATTTTTAAGTATCCTTACCAACATTGATTCTTTATTCATTTATGGCTAGTCATTATAATAGGTATGAAGTGATTTGTGTCTTTTGATTTACATTTCATTGATGAATCATGATGTTTAGCATCTTTTCATTTCCTTATTGCTTACTTGAATCTCTCTGGCAAAATATATATCCTAGTCCTTTGTACATATTGATGTGGATTATTTTTGTTGTAGAAGTTTTTAAATGTTCTAGATGATAATTCTTTGTTACATATCTAATTTGTAAAGATTTTTCCCTATTCTGTAAGTTGTTGTTTTGTTCTCCATAAGTGTCCTTTATGTTTTTTAATAACCCCTCTAAAACTTATGTTGAAATTAATTCCCATCATATCAGTATGTAAAAGTGATTAGATCATCAGGGCTCTGCACTACCAGCTGAGTGAGTAGGTAAGTTTTCTCTGGAGAGAGTTATCTCTGAAGAGAGTAGAGTCCTGATTAATTTGCTATTCTTCCAGTCTCCTAAGTAGCTTGAGTGAAGGTGTAAGCCATTGTGCTTGCACAAATTTTACACTTTCTTATGCTATGTTGTTATTTATCATTCTTTTACTTCAGTGTTTTTCTTTGGTGGAATTGTCATTTGAAATCAGAGACCTGTATTTTCTAGCCAGGTGCTCTACCATTTGAGGCATGCTCTCAGCCCTCATTTTCTTTTGGATCCTCTAACTGGATACTTACAAATAATCTACCTTTTTGTCAGTCATGGGGCTTGAACTCTGGGCCTGGGCACTGTCCCTCAGCTCTTCAGCTCAAGGCAAGTGCTCTACCACTTGAGCCACAGTGCCGCTTATGGTTTTCTGGTGGTTTATTTATAAGAGACTTAGACTTTCCTTCCCGGGCTGGCTTTGAACCACAGTCCTCAGATCTCAGCCTCCTAAGTAAATAGGATTACAGGCATGAGTCACCGGCACCTGGCTTTTGAGTCTGCTGATTGTTTTGCTTCTTAAAGCCTTTTGTTCAACACCTATATTGAGTTTTTAGTTCAATTATTACATTTTTTTCACTTTAAGAATTCTGAATTTTTTTGGTTGTACTGGGGGTTGAACTCAGGGTTTGACACTTGCTTGGCTTGCTTGCTGAACTGGTGCTGTACTACTTGAGCCATACCTTCAGCCTTGGTTTTGTTGGTTCTTTTGAAAACATACTTTCGTGGACTTTTCTACCCCACGCTGGCTTTGAATCTTGGGTCTCCAGATCTCAGCCTCCTAAGTAACTAGGATTATAGTCATGAGCCACTGGTACCCACCAAAGTTTTATTAATTTTACATGTGCATTGGGGATCTTCATAAAAGGCTAGAATCTAAAGTAATGACTAAAGCATGATATTTTAAGGGGTAATACTGAAGTTTGAACTCAGGGTTTTATACTTGCTAGGTTGGCACTCTATCATTTGAGCCACACCTCCAGTTTTTTTCATCCTTTTAAATTTTTTGTCTTTGTTGGAATGTTCCCTTTGTTTATTATTCTCTTCAGCTTTTGGGGCCTTTTTATAATGGTTATTTTCAATTTTCTATCAGGTAATTAACATACTATTTTATTATGGTTAATTTTTAGCTTTTTCCTTTGTTTGGATTGTTTATATTTTCCCAAATTTTCCTTGACTCTATATGTGTATCTTCAAATTAGAAAAAAATGTCTCCCCTCCAATATTACCAATCAACTTGGCCAGAGCTTCTATGGAACTCCCAAGAATTTGTGTTAGTCTAAACTGCTGTGTTCCAAGTAGTTCCCAGGTATCTAGTGCTTGCCCAGTTTCATCAGTGCTTGGAGACCAATGTCATTCTTTTGGAAGCTCCTAGATAAACCGGAATGTTTCATGCCTGGTTCAACTCTTTGCCTCCCCAGAGAAAAGGTGGGAGCCAGAATTTTCAGCTGCTTCCTCTTCCTTATGCTGGGTGCAAGAACTATGGTTCAGTCTGCCACTTTATTCTCTATGATCTCCAACAATTCCAGACCCTGTCGGCTCTATGAGAAAGCAGTCAGTCTGTCAGGGAACACCTGGAGAATTTGGAGTATTAGTTACATGGTTCAGATCTTTCTGTCCTCAGAAGCTGAGATTTGAGGTTCCCTAATACTGTGGCACTGTGCTCTGTGTGGGGATTATGATGAGTGTTTCTGATTTGCTTTTCTTTTTCTTTTGCGCTAGTCCTGTGGCTTGAACTCAGGACCTGGGCACTGTCCCTGAGCTTTTTGCTCCAAGCTACTGTTCTACCACTTGAGCCACAGTTCCTCTTCTGACTTTTTGCTGGTTAGTTGAAAGTCTTATATACTTTCCTGCCAGTGCTGTCTTTGAACCGCAATCCTCAGATCTCACCAGCCTCCTAAGTAGCTAGGATTACAGGGGTGAGCCACCACTGCTCAGCTACTTCTGCTTTTCTTAGTAGTTTCTGTGTGGCCAGTATCACACTGACAACAGGTACAAGAGTACTTCAGTTAGTATCTGGACTTCTCACAAAGGGAATTGATCCTTGGTGTTGCTGCTAAATAACTGAAACTTTGGAGGTGAAGGAGAATCTAGGGTTTCCTATTCTGACATCTTGTTGTCACTTTCCCCCCTTATCTCTTAAAACTACATGTGAACCTGTAATTATCTCAAATTAAAAGTTTAATTTGGGGCTGGTTGCATGGCTTACAAAGTAAATGTGTCTGCCTATCAAGCCTAAAGTCTTAAGATAAAACTTTAGTACCAAAAGAAAAAAAAAGTATTTGGGTGCTGAAAGTGTGACTCAATAAGTGAAAGCAGCAGATACTGAGTTTGAGTCCCAGGATCAGACCTAAAGAAAAAAAAAAAACAAAAGAAATAACCATGGGCTGGGAATGTGGCTTAGTAGTAGAATGCTTACCTCACATGCATGAAGCCCTGGGTTTGCTTCCTCAGTACCACATACACAGAAAAAGTTGAAAGTGGTGCTGTGGCTCAAGTGGTAGAGTGCTAGCCTTGAGCAAAAGAAGCTCAGAAACAATGCCCAGGTCCAAAGTTCAAGCCTCAGGACTGGCAAAAAAAAAAAAAAGAAGAAGAAATAACCAACCCTTTGGATAGGTTGGGATGGGTGGGTGAGAATGTTGAAAAGGGTGACACTGTTCAAGCTGTACCGTACTCATAAACTGCTTTCTTGAATAGCAACTCCTTTGTACAACTACTTAAAGATAAGAAAAAATATTCAAAAAAGGCAGATTTTTTTCAAAAATAACCTCGTTTTCTTTTTTAATTTCCAAGAATTGTTATTTTAAAATAACATATTAATTACATATTGTAATGGAGTTCAATATATTATTTGCAAACATAGGCAAATAGGATTATACCAAACATCAAAATTTTTGCACAGTAAAGGGAATTCTCAAGGAAGTAAAGAGACATATTGCATAATTGAAGAAAATATTTACCAACTATTCATCTGGCTAAGAAACAATATTCAAAATACATAGTGACTATATATTTTGAAGGCTCCAGAATTCAGTCACACACTATGCAGAGCCTCAAGTTGTTTTTTTTTTTTTTTTGGATCCAGTAGTGGGGCCTGAACTTGGTGCCTGGGCACTGTCCCTCAGCTCTTCAGCTCAAGGCTAGCGCTCTACCACTTGAACCCTAGCACCACTTCTGGCTTTTTTCTTTTTGCTTATGTGGTGCTGAGGAATTGAACCCAGGGCCTCAAGCATGCAAGGCAAGCGCTCTACCACTGAGCCACCTTCCCAGCCCATCCTCAAGTTTTCTGAAGGCCAAAATATCTCCTTCTATAGAGATCTTTCTACTGAGAATATTATTCTTCAGATTGTTTTGTGTGTGTGCTGATCCTGGGGTTTGAACTCAAGGCCTTGGTGCTGCTCTTGAGCTTCTTTTGTTCAAAGCTGACATTCTGAATCACAGCTTCACTTCTGCCATTTTAAATAGTTTATTAGAAATAAGACTCTCATGGATTTTCCTGCCTGGACTGGCTTTGAATTGTGACCATCAGATCTTGGCCTCCTGAGTAGCTAGGATTACAGGCATGAATCATCTGGGCCCATCTATATTTACCATCTTTTAATGTCATCAAAATCATATTGCTTTTGATATCTTCCCACCCACCAGGTTAATACCTTTTTGGCAAAAAGAAAATATTGCAGTTCCTCTAGTTAAACTAACCCACTAACCCACTTTGTGTTTCTTTTTGTCTATTGAAGGTTCTGGTGTGGGATGTATAACCGCTTTGACAAAGGGCTGCACCCCAAACAGAGTATAATAGACAGACTTTTGGAAATGAAGAAACAACAAACAATGCTGGAGGCACGGGTGCATGAATTAGAAAAGGTGAGGAGAAAGGTCCCCCCAAAGAGATTCTCTTGTCCCTTCTAGATAGTCCCAGCCCATTTGAAGTTGAATTGGTGCTTGTGAGATATTACCTAATTTGGCTTCTTAGTGTCCATTCTGCAAAACTCAGGGAGTAACTCCTTTTCTTCCCATAGTGTGGGAAATATCGTACCCAGATAGTTAAACATAAGGATTGAATAGAATTATTAGGAGGAACAAGAGGGAATGACCAGGAAATTACACTGGTATTTGTTATCAATCAAGAGAGTAACATTTTGAGTGAACTTACCAGAATAATGAAATGGTTATATTTTTCAATTAGGAAAACCTTACCAAAGAAAATTCTTTCCTTTTTCCCATATAAACTTTACTTATCAGATAGTCATTGCTGTTTATTGATTCTTCTTTACAGCCACAACAAAACAAAAGTTTAGTCACAGGTCAAGTAATTAACAAGGATTTCTTTGTAAAACATGGAAAATACTGAGCTGCTTAGGAAATGTAGGTATCCCTAGCAGTTTATTTAAAGGACAGAGGAGTTATTCTTCTTAGAAAAGAATTATTGGAAAGGATATGCTATTTAGGAACTAAGTGTGAGCCAGATAAGGCATATCATTTTCTGTTGACTATTAGTAAATAACTATTGCCACCACCACCCCTTTTGGAAGTCCTGGAGTTTGAATTCAGGGCCTCAGGATTGCTAGGCAGCCTTTCTCAAGTGGTAGAGGGCATGCCAACAAGTGTGAGGCCCTAAGTTCAAACCCCAGTATTGCCACAAAAAAGGTTGTACACTCAGACCCCAGCCCTCCACTTCCCAGATGTGAATTTGACACATATAACTTCTGTGAGCCTCATTTTCCTCACTTATAAAATAAAGCTAATCTCTGGTTTCTTATAATGATAGAAGGAAATTACATAAAGCACCTGGCATAAATAGGGATTCAATATTAATGATCCTTTCCTTTTTCCTGTTTTATCCCAGTAATAAAAGACTTTTACATATATAAGACCTTTGAGTTCTTTTGAGGATCAGTAATGGTATAGATTTTAAAGCACTATGGCAGGTAATAAAGAAAAGATGTTTAGCAGTATGGGGTCAAAGATAATTTGCTACCATATAAATGATGGCAATAAGATTGCAGATCAATGTATTTTTGCCAAGCTTTTTTCTTTGTCTAATTGTTTTTCAACCATTCCTTGCTCCTGAAACAGAAACTGAAAACCCATGGTGAGCTACTAGAAGATGTCTATCCCTTCCCTCATTCAGGAGATGCATTATCCCAGCATTTGGCCAGTCCTTTGACTAGTTCTTTTGGCTTTATGGGTATTGAGGGAGATGGAAATACCTTGATGGAGAATCGCACCCTGTCCAGGGAAGGAGGCCTTCGTGCTCAGATGGATCAAGCAAAAGACCAGTGTGGAGAGCCCCACCCTGACTCTTGTAAGGACAAACTTGGGGCCATGGATATCTCTGGAGATGTGAACATTTCTGGAGCCATGAATGTTTCTGGAGACACAGACATTTCTAAGGGCACTGACATCCATGGAATCCTGGATATTTCTGAGGACTGGGGCTTCTATGAAGATATAGGTCTCCCAGAAGGCCTAGTCATCTCTAGGGCCACCAGAAAGGAGACAGGCTATTCTGATAAAAAATGAGCTGTTCACTTGCCTGATTTTGTGCTAAGAGCACCTGTAGCAGCCATTCATGTCCTTGTACCAAACAGGGTTATGCTGCTTTCACTTGATTTAAATGGGTCCGACCAGGACACATTTCCCCCCTTCAGAGTTTGGAAGGGGATTTAGAATGTTTACTGATTTAAGTGGCCAGTATTTACCTGTTAAGAATTCCAGAGTATAGGCAAGAGAAAGAATGTGTTTTTCTAAAATGAGATTAAACTTCAGAAACATTGCCTTTCAGCTGAGATGTTTGTGAGATTGGTTCTACTATCTGTTTTCCTTAAATGAGCAACCTCAACTACTTTACTGCCTGAAAACAAAGTGGAAATCTTGTTACTGGAAAATTACAACTTTATTGAAAGGATGGAGATATGATATTGTGAATTTCACAATATTATAAAAGAAAACATGTTCAGATACACTGAGTCATGGGGTGCTAGCTAAAATTGGCAGTATAGGTGCTTGGAGATTTGGAACATAGAAGTAATTTTCTTGTTACGTTAATCTCTCTTTTCAACCTACACTCCAGTTCAGTTTTGTTATAATACTATTTTTAGTCAATCCATTCTTTTGTAGCTAGCCCACAGGTAAACCTACTATAAAGTTTTTAGTTCTAAATTAGTGAGATTTAAATAGTTATTAATAGCATTATCAGCATCAGTCCAGGAAGCACCTTAAAACCTCAATGCTCCGTACTTGCCTGAGATATTGTCTGTGTGGTTATTTGGTTGTTTTGTAAGTCAAGCCCTTTCTTAGGATATCTTATTTTTTTTAAAAAAAAGGCCATTGGTTTTGCTTATCTAGATATCACCTGAAATTTATGGACTTTTGAATATAATTGGCACTGCTTTTGAAATCTGGTGGGTATTTCACTTTGTCTAGATGTCTAACTTCTTTAAAAAGTTTATTCTTCTAGTCCAGCCACTCACATATAAAGGAATGTGTTCTTTTTTAAAAAATGAAATTTTCACCTTGCTATAGATATACTTGCTAACCTTTCTCATCTTCCTATTGGATATTCATTCATTGTTTCAACACTTCCACATGCTGGGCATAGAGCGGTTTGGGCCATGATTTACATATTGTCAGCATTTCCAAAACTATCAATGCCACTATCTGATTCAAGCTAAAAAAAATTAGATGACTTAAAGATACATCCCTGTTGATTGTCGTATCCAGTTGTGAATACAGAATTATCTTAAGGACCAACCACTTTGTTAGTTGCTATTCACTGAAAGGAAGACATCCTTTTAGGAGTATAATTTAAATGTAAAAGAGAATAGTTGAGACAGTTTGTTGATTTCTTACTCAAAGGTAAATAAATATGGACCCCAATAAAACAACCTTCTTTGGCCAGAGAATTCTAATTAATTTTGGTTGATCTATTTCATATGTAAATTTGAGCTATTTTTCTACTCATTTCCTTTTGGTGGCATTTTTCTTTCTCTTTTTAAAGAACTAATATGGGTCTTTTCATTCATAAATAGGGACTATTTTTCTATCTTTCATGTATTGTGTGTTTGTTTTCTTTGAGACAAGGTCTCACTGTCTATACAACCCTTTTCACTCAAACTCATGGTCCTTCCCAGTCTCCCCAGTCATGCATAATACCACACACATTTTTTAAATCATAAAGCATTAAAATAATCTCTTAAATTAAGATCTCTTAATGTATCTTCTCTGATCCCCCTCTTAACATAATTTGGACCTCAGTTTATATAACTTAAATCATCCTTAATCCTTAATCATCCTTAATTTCTAGTTAATTGTTATTTCTGCACATAATTTTGATTTAAAGGCTATATCCTCACTGTACAAAGGAAGTTGTCAAAAGGAATATCAGACTAGGATGTATCACAGTGGTAAAATGTTTGCAATGCACAAGGGCCTGGTTTCAATCCCAGTACCACCAAAAAAAGAAAAGAAAAAGACATTTTCCCGTATCTCAATCTGTATTTTGCAGTGCATAACCAGGATGATACTGGAGATACAGTGTGTTGAGAGGTTTAATTGGAAGAGAAAGAACAAAAATGGAAAGTGGCAAAATTTAGCTTTCAAATCTAATTAGAAAGCTAATGTGAAGTCTCATATTTTTCCAAAGGACCTGTACAAGGGCAGTACATAGTGCCAAAACTTACTTATTAGATACAAAACAAAATGAGTCGATAATGAAGATTTTTTTCAGTACAACTCCAAACTTAGCAATTGCACACAGCAACTCTGTTTCCAAAAGCAAAATAAAAAAATATACAGACTAGTTTATATTTTGTTGAGTATTTAAGGTCAGTTTTAGTGTTAGGATCAGTGTAGTCAACTTGTTTGATCTCTATATGACCTGTTTTGTTCAAGAAAAACCTTGAGCTGGGCGCTGGTGGCTCACGCCTGTAATCCTAGCTACTCAGGAGGCTGAGATCTGAGGATCGCGGTTCAAAGCCAGCCCGGGCAGGAGAGACCGTGAGACTCCTATCTCCAATAAACCACCAGAAAACAGGAAGTGGCGCTGTAGCTTAAGTGGTAGAGTGCTTGCCTTGAGCTGAAGAGCTGAGGGACAGCGCCCAGGCCCAGAGTTCAAGCCCCACAGCCGACAAAAAGAAAAAGAAAAACCTTGAAAATATTTATTTTTTATCACCAACTACTTCTCTATTTTTTATAGTCATTTAAAAAATGTGAGGGAAGAAAATGGTTAGGGGAGAATCCAAATATATGTGCATTGCTAGGAGCCCAGTAATTATCTGCAGTTAGGAGCCCAGCAATAGGGAGGAGATTTCTGAAGGAAAGTTTCAGGAATATTAGAAATATTAGATGATCTACTACAGCTTTTATTTCATACTCTCATAGACCACCTATGCTGTGACAGAAATGTGACCCTTCCTTCACTGTCCTGCCCTTCCAGATCCTCAAGCAGAAATTCCATTCTCATATGACTACCCTACTTAAATTGGAAGGCATTTAACCACCTGCCACTGTCTTATCCACTAACCTGACCTCTGCTTATTTCCTATTCAAGTTTCATGGGCCTAAGGTCACTATTTATCTTTTCCAAGTATGAGTCAGGCTCAGTTCCTGTGCTGGTGGCCATGCTCAGATTCTGCATGAACCTTTTTTTTTTAAGTTACTTAGTTGATGGAATGATAGATTTATCACAATAATAAAGCAACCCTAAATAATTACTTCAGAAACATCTAACAGGCTTGACTTTTTAAAGAAGAAATTCAGGAATAGGGTTGACTGTATAAAAGAAAACCTGAAACTATCTAGAATCAAGAGAGCAAGAATGTAAAGCACATGATACATTTGTTGAGCACATGTACCTTTGGGAAGTTACCATCAGATCCGTTGTTGACTGCCAGCATGCATGGAACACCTTTTGTCTGAGATACATGTCTCTCACTTCACAGGAAGTGAGACATTTCCAGTAGCTCAAGCTAGTCTGACATTTACTATATAGCCTAGGGTAGCTTCAAACTCTTGACCTCCTTCCTCAGCTTCCCAAGTGCTGGAATTACAGGCATGAGCCTCCATGCCTGACCTGAATCCAACTCTTTTGAAAAGGTGCTTTCAACCAAATTAACTTTGGCTTCAATTTAGCAGACACATTTAAGGATTCTCATATCAGATTTTGGTTCCTTACTGGTTTTATTAAACACACAATACCTTTTCTTCATTCTATTAGGCTTTGATATATAATTTGGAATCTTTTCTATGAGAATATTTTATACCAGTGGCCTTTTTTGTAAATAGTTGTTAGGGAAATGTAAATTATCTAAGAAAAATAATTCTCTCAAAAGAGTTTACTATGTTCTACTTTGGTTCATACTTGGAAAGATTGTTTTTGCTTCCTCACATAGTTCCCAATGATTTAATAATACCTTTACCCAAACGTTCTCCACCCTCAAGCCACTCCCTCCCAGAAACTCAAGATACAGCAGACAGGATTTAAGCCAAGTCCAGTTGCTTTCTCCTAAGTGCCAAATCTAGACTAAATTTTTATATGGATATTTGAAAACAAAAAGTAGATGTGGCTTAAGCCTTAAATTTTTCCTCTGGGGTTATTTTTTACATAATATGAAGAAATAAATGCCTGGCCTAGCAAGTGACATAAAACAAAGGATAAAGGGAACTACTGTGGCTCATAAAGGACTCTGGTTTTGTTATCTTTTAAAGGCAATTCTGTATTTGATGGCAACATAGAAGCTTTTCCAAGGCATAAAAAAATTACCTTTCAAGCCCTACACAATATGTCTTCTCTGATTCTCCGGCTGTGGGTCTGACAATCTGTGCCTTTCCCTTAATAGGAAGTATTGCTATTGTCACCGTTCATGACAGCCATATCACCTTTAGATGTCAATGCAAGTAAAAACATGTTACATGCCCTGCGACTTGTCTTCACAAAAGATGTTTGCTTTGAAAGCAGCTGTCTGATTTAGGCCTGTGTGTCTTGCAAGAACTGAACAAAATATGTTCAGAATTTGGCATGTGTGAAACCAATGGTCCAGTGCTCTGTCCCTTGGTGTTTTATAAAGCTTTGGGAGTAAACTAAAAGTTTCTTTTCCAAAGCTTTGTTGCCTTTCAAACGTTTTCATAGTTTTATATTCTGACTCTGATACTAGCCCTCCAGAGTCTCAGTTGTACAGATAGTTACAGAAGGGAAAAGAGAGTGATACAGAGATGGACCTAGCCAGTTAAGATTGCATGTACTCCTAGTAAATGGATTGTTCACAATAAGGTGCAATGAAAAGGGTTTTAAGTTATTATGACTGACATTTTCTTTCAAGGCAATCTTTATACTATTAGAAACTTCTTTCAGGAATACTATGAAATGTGCATTTTCTTTGTCCGTGTGTTTTTTGCTTGAATATGTGCTTGTGGCTTTGGTTTTAGAGAGTCAGGGGAAGTAGGTGACTGTTAATATGTTTTTTGTTAGTATGTCCTCAAGGCAAGTGACTTCTGAGCCACCTTTTTGCTTCTATAACAAACATCACTGGTCCCCTAGCCAGTCAGATAAATAGTACAGCTAAGTCACTAGGTGATAACTGTTTAAAGACCAAATTCTCTAGTGTCACCTCCCATATAATTGGCCACACCAGGTCTCATAATTCTACATCTGTATGCCTGTAGTCAGGATTTTTTCTATATTTTGTGAGCACAGATCCTAGTTCTGAAATATAACATTCTGGATTCTAGTTTTAACAGTGCCTCCAGCTTAAGAACAGCTAACAAGTTTAGTCTTTTGATAAGTAACTCATAGTAAGACTATTTGTATACATTTACTGTAACCAGTAGCCTCCAGTCCTATAGGTCACTTAGGCATTCAGATGAAGAGAATTTTTCAAGACTTTGGTGTTAGACATCTAGTTGATATTGTCCAGCAAAGTACCATAAAGTCTTTAAGACATGCCAAGGCAGAAATAGAAACCAAAGTGAAGCAATTAAGCCTTTTCTCTAGGTTGGATCAATCAGGCA